CCTCATAGTGGCAACCGGGGGGAGGGGGGAGCCGCCATGATGGGGCATGGTGTGAGGTGAGGGAGAAGCCGCCATGTTGGGGCATGGTGTGAGGTGCAAGTGGTCACCCCCTGAATAAACAGGGATAAGCTGGGAAAAAAAACCCACAGACATCAAAAGAACACAAACATCCCAAGTGACATGGGACCCCACCAGCCCCCGGGGCGCTGCCATCCCCCTCATGCCCTGAGGAGAAACCCCACTACAGAGGTGGCCGGCAGCCACCGCGCCTCAATGGCGCCGGGTGTGGGCAGAGTGGGACAGGGGCTGCTGTAACTGGTGTCTCACAGGGACATGGGGACCTCCTGCTCCTGTGGGAAATGTGCGACAGCCACTGGTGAATTAGCAGCCGCCTCTCGCACCCAGGCCGCCAGCATGGCCCCCACATGGGTCAGTTCCTCACGAGGCGCCGCGGTTTCCCCTGCTTGCAAAGGGCAGGGCAATGGCAGGAGAGGCGCTGGGCGTCCGTCGAGGTGTCTCAGGCGTTGGGGACATGGGCAAAGGGACAATTGTCACCCTCAGCTCAGCCTCCCGGCCAGGGTTGGGACACACAGAGCTCTCGCCATCCCCTCAGGGTCGGGTTCTGGCTCTTGGGGGGATCATGGCTTCCGCCGAGCGCTTGGGGAGAGGCTTGGGGAGCGGGAGGGTCGGGAACGCTCAAAAAAGCGGCAAAAAAAAAAAAACAAAACACACAAGAAAAAGCAGGCACGTTTCTGCCAAACCCGGCTGTTTTGGGAGGACGGGGCTGACGGCAGAGGGCGGCACAGACTCGTCGCTGGCGCCTCGCCGCAGGGCCCGGCCTGGCACCGGGGAGCGGAGCCCTGACCCCACCTGCTGCTGCTCCTTCATACAATCACAGAATCAATAATATCTGCAGGTGGAAGGGACCCTCTCCACCAGCTGCTCCCGAGGTCCGGGCACATGTTTCGGGTGGCAGAGTGAGCCCAAGACCGTGGCAGCCAGCACAGCATCTCTGGCAGCTTTCGATTCTGAAGGAGAACGAAAGCCGAGAGAGAGGAGTCAGTTCCTTTTCCCATCCTGAAGCTGAAGCGGAGAAGGGAAACTAAAGAGCTGGCAAAAATAGAGCATTTCCAGGTACCCAGCTGCAGGGAGGTCACTGCCCGCCTGGTCAGGAGGTGCTGTGTGGGACTAGCAGTTTCCAGAAAGGAGCTGGTCCGTCCAGGGTGGAAATGCTGCTCCTTCCACCCAGAGTTAAAAACCTGTGGGCTACAAAGGGCGACAAACAGGGTTATCGCACATCATTTCATCCCGTACCGTGACCACAAACTCTGAGAAATGGAAACCATCCCACATGGGAGCGGGAGTCCTCGGTGTTGGTGGGATGCTGAGCACGCCAGAGGGTCTGTCCATCTCACAGAATGACAGAATGGTCAGGGTTGGAAGGGACCTCTGGAGATCATCTAGTCCAACCCCCCTGCCAGAGCAGGGTCACCTCCAGCAGTGGCACAGGACGGCGTCCAGGCAGGTTTGGAATGTCTCCAGAGTGGGAGACTCCACCACCTCTCTGGGCAGCCTGTGCCAGTGCTCCACTACCCTCAAAGTAAAGAAGTTCCTTCTCATGTTAAGATGGAACTTCCTATGTTCAAGCTTGTTCCCAATCTGTCCTAGAGTAATTTCCACACACCCCTGCAAAGCCTCTGTCAGATGCCTGCCGTTCCCTCCGTCTTGGCAGGGTGGGTTGGTTTTGCTGTTCCCCTCTCAGCCTGAGGGATCCTCCTTGGAGTTTTCCCTCCCGCTTTTCCACGGCAATTCACACATCATCTTCTCGTGCTTCATTTATTGGCTTTATCAAAGACTTTGTTTGGAAACACCCAGCTAGAGAAACAGGAGAGTAACCCCTCCGCCCTGGCAAGGGAAAGTGTCTCATTGTCTCCGCTCTGCCCACACCCTGCTCCTGTCCCCAAAAGGAGAGAAAACACACCCGGAGGATGGGGGGAAAAGACTGAAATCCAAGTCCTCTGCATCTGTGGCAGTGCTTTGATTGCTGTCAGTCCTCAGCTGGCGACAGCAGGAGCCAACCTGGGCCAAACTCAACCAAATCGATGTGCTTTGGGGGGGGGGGGGG